CATGGTAATAGGGAATGCAATGGCTTGTAGGATTCTAACTTTTGTGCTTAGTTGTATATCTTTGCATTTTAGAAACGTTAGTCAGATTACAGATGTTCTTTTCTTCATCATTCATCAGACTACAGATTTCATCAGATTACAGATGTTCTTCATCTTGCTTCAGCATTTGAGGATCTATGAAGGTGCAGTTCTCTCTTGGTTCTACTGTCCCACAAATTCTTTCACAATGTAATCTTCTGCATGTTGATTTAGAAAAAAAGTTTTTCTGAGTTCCACTTCAATGGAACTGCTAAATAAGTATGCCCTAGAATGTATCCTTAAAGCAGGCGTAGGCAACCTTTTCAAGCTCTGGGGTAGGCAACCTTTTTAAGCTCTGGGCCGGTCCCCCGAAGTCCTCTTTTCCACCGGGCCGGGGGGGGGAAATGTGCCACACGCGCCCCCCCAGCACTCACCGCCGCCGCACATGTTGCGGCCGCCATTTTGAAAATCAAAATGGTGGCTGCGACACATTTGCGCATGCTCAGGAGTACTGCGCATGTGCAAACGCGTCGCGGCCGCACGGAGGCAAAAATGTGCCATGGCAGCAGCAGCGGCAGGGGTCTGCCTGGGCCGGTAAGTCCAGCGACCTGGGCCAGAACCGGCCCGGGGGCCGTAGGTTGCCGGCACCTGCCTTAAAGTCTTGATCAGTTACTTTTTTTCTCTCTCGCTTTCTGCCAGGGTCATTCAAGAGTAGGCTCTCCTTTGTATTCTGTTTCCTCCTGGCAGACTTTTTTTTCTGCTTCAGTATGATTGTTATACTGATAAGAGTCTGGCTGGATCAGACCAAAGACATGTCTGCTTGAGCAACCTGTGTTTCACAGCAACCAAGTAGACTGCTCTGGGAAACCTACAAACTAGACCATCCTCACTTGTAGCCATTGATAGTGTGATTCTCTGTGATTTTGTCTAACACCTTTTAAATAATTGAGTTTGGTCTTCTATAGTCTGGTGCCCTCTGGATGCTTTACTAGATTACAAGCTCCATTATTGCTGACCATTGATCAGGCTGTTTAGGGCTGATTGGATTTTTAGTCTAAACATCTGGAGAGTGCCATATTGAGGGAAACTCTTCTAGATTAAGTGTGCTATTTATGTAGGAGATGGGGAAACTGCTTCTACAGTTATTGGGTGGATACCTCCCATAATGTCTGGCTACTGGCTAGGCTGATGGGAACTGGAGTCAAATCTGGAAAGCTGCACGCTCCCCACAAGATCTTTCAACAGTTTCTCTTCCTTTCCACTTTTACTTTTCATATCTGGTGCAAACAAAGTTAAATTCCATACCATTTCCTCTCTTATGTCTCTTAGACCAGCCTCCTTTAGGCCATGGTCCGTGGACCCTGAGTGTGTGTGTGTGTTAACTGGTTACAAAACTAGTTTTCTTTCTTCACAGTTCTTCCTGTTACTTTAAAACTTATGTTTAAATCAATTTTTCTTGAGAGGAGGTCTGTAGGATTGAAAGGTTCTATGACTTAAAAAAAAAAAGGAATTGTTTTGAATAATGTGACTGAAGTGACTAAGAACTGGGTTTCTTAAATTGTTTAGTGTACTTTCATAAGTAAAAATATAGTTCAATCAAACCACAAGCTATGCACTTTGTCTAGCATTTCTGTTTCCAACAGTATCCAACCAGATACCTCTTATAAGAGCTCTGTAATTTACTTGTTGACCCGACTTAATCCCAGCATTATAAAATAATGTGCTTCACATATAATAATCTATTCTTTCATAATTTAGTTAGTTGTTCCCCAAAGCGCAATTTAAAATAAATGATATGCACACACTGTTGCAAAGATGGTTTGTTGGAAAAAAGTACTTTTACTTTTTCAGTAGGACAACATTGTATTGGAATATGAGGCTAACCATAAACTCTGCAGAGCTTTACTATTTCTTTTAACCAATTTACATCTCAGGACAGATCTATTTTGCCTTTATATTATACTACAGCCTCTTTTAGGGTATATCTACTTGCACATATCTAATAAAAAGTTGTATTACTTTCATTCCACTTTAATTATCATGCTTCCCTGTTTAAAGTATCCTACGATGTGTAGTTTAGTGAGATATG